CGGGAGACCTCGACTGGGGTACCTGACGTAGTACGGGGTGGACTCCTCGAAACGGACGTCACGGGAGTCAAAGAACCGGTGAGAGGGAGGGTGGTAAAAGGTGAAGTCAGAGGAGTCCTCAGGGAAACCAAGGAAGACACAAGGAACGGCGCGAGGCGAGAGCTTGTCCGCGGAGGTGTCGCAGACAAGAGCCAAGCACCCCCAGACACGAAACCTCGACGCGACACCAGGGGACCCTGTCCAAAGACTGGTCGGTGAAGCCTCCGGCCGAGAGACGCGTGGCCAGAGGTTCAGCTGGTGCGCGGCGTACCTGACTGCGTATGGCCACAGGAAATGGGGGGCACGGGCGTGAGTCAAGGAGGTGCGGGCAATCTCCATGACCAGGCCTATGCGACGCTCAGCAACCCCATTCTGCTGTGGGGACTCCGGAAGCGTCCAGGACTGACGAATGCCCTGTTCGCGACAGAATCCAGCGAGAATGCCGGAGCGAAACTCGCCCCCGCGGTCGGAGTGGAGACAGCTGACACGACGACCACGAGTGTCCTGGGTGGTAAGCAACCACCTGATCAGCGTAGAAGTCACCTCAGACTTCCTCGCCAGGGGGAACACTGTGGTGTAGCGGGAGTAGTCGTCAACGACCACCAAAAAGAAACGCTCACGCTCAGGGCCAGGGCGAGGAGAGGGGCCCCAGACGTCCAAGTGCAGCGTCTCAAAAGGCTCGGTGGCCGGACGAAGGGAGGAGGAGTGAGGGGTGGCACGCAGCCTACCCTCGACGCAAGGACCGCACGGTGGTGCAAGAGACGGCGGCAGCGACGGCAAGACACGCGGGAGACCTAAGACCAGACGCTGACTAGACATAGCGCGCAGACGTGGAAGAGAAGGGTGTCCCATCCGGTGGTGCCACAGAACGGTGGGGTGGGCAAGCGACCGACAGGAGCAAGACGCAGCGACTGGACTGGACGCGACAACCTGAGGGGACGGAACCACCTGGTGAGACGCAGGGAGGAGACTAGGGGGAGGGACAGGAACTGGGAGGAGTGGCTGCTGCGACGGCGGCCGCTGTGGCTGCGGCTGCGGCTGCTGCCGCTGCTGCTGCTGCGGCTGCTGCTGCTGCTGCTGCTGCTGCTGCGGTTGCTGCTGCTGCTGCAGTCGCTGCTGAGCGCGCGGGCCAGTGTGAAGAGTGTAGAGACCGGAGCCCGGCTCAGCAGCAAAAGTGGCGAGGGGCTGGTAAGAGTCCCCGTCAACACACACCGCAGTCTCTCCAGAAGGCTCAAACCACACACCCACGTGCTGACTCACGAGGGGTCGCACGCCCACCAAGTTCTGGGAGAACGAGGGGACGTGAAACCCAGTGAGAGACCCAGAAGGAGCAGCCGGACACGGCAAGGTGGTAGTGTGACGCGCGGTGACTGGTCCCGAAGTGGGATCAGCCAGCGCCACAGAAACAGGCGCAGGAAGAGGCGTAAGTGTCGTGCTGTCACGAAAGAAGCAGTGAGAGGCTCCAGAGTCCAGCGTGAACGACAGCGAACCGTCCTCTGAGGTAGCCGCTGGACTAGAGTCTACACAAGAACCTACACTAGCAACAGGCAACTGAGCAAGGCTAGCACCTAAGCTAACAACACCAGAGTAAGCAGAGTCAGAAACACTAGAGTCAACAACAGCATACATAGCATGGGGAGTACCAATCAGATCAACTAACTGCTCAGCAGACATGCCCCACAGAGCGGAGCCGTAGCGCTGAACAAGAGGCAGCCAGTCAGGGGCAGGAGCACCAACCCCGTAGACCAAACGAACCGTGTCAGTGAGCTGAGCAAAGCACTGACCAGGGGGGTGAAACCGGCCACAAGGGTGGCCACGACGAGGGCCTGTCAGAACCTGGTAGGTGCAGGGAGTGTAAGCAGCACCACGCTGGGTCTGACGCAGCCCCGACCCTGGAGCCAGCTGCTGCCGCTGCTGCTGCTGAGGCTGCTGGGAGGAGAGGGGCTGCTGGTGCTGCAGAAGCTGCTGCTGACGCTGAGCCTGGTACCACGCCGCTGCTCCACCAACCGGGGCAGGAAGTACAGGAGGCGACTGACGAACTCGGGCGTCGCCACCACTAGCAGGCGCAGTGGAGTCACCAGTCACTGCACGAGGCGCCTCTCCAGGCCCTGAACCTCCACCGCCGCCAGGCGCAACGCCACCTCCACTACCTCCGCCTCCACCTCCACTACCACCACCAGAACCGCCTTTCTTGCCACTCCTACCGCGGGACCGCGACGCAGTCGTAACAGCAGCTGCAGTCGCGTCAGTAGCGGCAGTGGCAAGTGAGGCAGTAAAGGTGGGTAACTGCGGGACTGTGCACCCGTGGAAGAGTGGGGGGGGCACAGCACCAGAGGCAGCGGCTACCGAGCGAAGGTTGCTCTCGACGTCCTTGAGTGCAGACTCAAGGACATCGACGGTGAGCTCACTAGGGTGCTTCAGCAGAAGCGCGTCGCGAACGGAGGCAAGGCGGTCAGGGAGGCTAGTGGCGATGAAATAGATAGTAATCGCCATAGGGGGAGGAAGCAGTGCAAGCTGTGCCTCAGTGCAAGCAGCGCGGTAACTAGCGTCGAGCGAGCGGAGGTGAGCGATCAAGTCAGCAGAGCGCTCAAACGAGGCGAGATCAGGAAACAGGAACGGGAGGAAAAGACGGCCAAGAGAGACAGTAGCGGGAGTAGAGTAGCGGGCCTTAATCGCAGTGAGGTACGCAGCAGCGGTGCGAACCTGAGTGAAGTGGACCTCCTCTGACTCAGGGAGGAGGCTGCTGAGTGCGATGCAGGCCGCAGCGTCACGCGACGTCCAAGCCGTCCTGTCAGCGCGCTGACGGGCAAAGCGAGCCGTAGCAGCATCGTCAGGGGCAGGACCTAAAGCGGCAGGCTCGGGGGGCTCGGGGAGGTCACCAGTAGCGTGCGACCAGAGGGTCTCGCCCCCCTGGACTTGACTCTCTAACAGACGGCGAGCGCGAAGAAGCCAGACGGAAAAGTCAAGAGGTCTACCGTCAGCGTCGAAACGAAGAACTCGCGGAGTCGCCATAGCGAGAACGAACGCGAACGAGCAGGCGAGTAACAGCAGGAGGTAAGAGGCAAATTAGGGTTCAGGTGGGGGGACTTAGTCGCAGCGGAAGAACGGGCTAGGGCGTAGGGTCGACAGGACGGGGGAAAGGGCGGGCGCGATGCGACGGGGCAGGGCGACGCGACGGGGCAGGGCGACGCGACGGAGCAGAGGCGACGGGACGGGGAAGGGCGACGCGACGGGGCAGGGCGACGCGACGGGGCAGGGCGACGGGACGGGGAAGGGCGACGGGACGGGGCAGGGCGACGGGACGGGGCAGGGCGACGCGACGGGGCAGGGCGACGGGACGGGGAAGGGCGACGGGACGGGGCAGGGCGACGGGACGGGGGAGGGCGACGGGACGGGGCAGGGCGACGGGACGGGGCAGGGCGACGGGACGGGGGGAAAGGGCGCGACGCGACGGGGGGAAAGGGCGCGACGCGACGGGGGGAAAGAGCGCGACGCGACGGGGGGAAAAGGGCGCGACTCGACTGGGGGGAAAGGGCGCGACGCGACGGGGGGAAAGGGACGCGACGAGGGGGAAAGGGCGGGCAGGACGCGACGCTAGGAGTGGCGCTAGGCGCGGCACTACGCGCGGTAACAACGGAACCGGAACGAATGAGAGCTAGGATCAGGCTCGGGAGGCTCGAACGGAGAACGGAGGAACGGGATCCCACAGGATCCTAACCTAACTGATACCATGTCAGAATGAAGAATGGATGATGCATTGATGTTGGTTGGGGTACATATAGCTAACCCTAAGTTTTGTACCCCCTAAGACAAACCTCACTATAGGCTACAACATTTGACACATTTGAATAGTGTGTATTTCTTGGAATTTACTTTTTTTTTTTTTTTAATTTGGGCGTAAGCATTTGTCCACTTCCTGCAAATGCATAAACCACTTGGTGTTTGATTTTTTCTTTCGAAGGATTGGAATGGAAAATTTTATGTGCTCTCGCATGGTCATACAATTGTACTGTTGAATGCCAGTGTCATGCGTTGCTGTTTCTTGAAATTTTTTTCCTCACTCAGTGTAATTTAGCACCATATGAAAAGCCGAACTAAAGTTTCTAGGATATCATGCAAGACCTAGTATGGCGTGCTGAGCTGGATGGAAGGGGGAGGTAATAGAAATCTATGCTAGACAGATATATTTATATGTCGATATTTATCGTGGGTAGGAACATAATTCAGGCATTCTATTGCAAGAGACGTGCTAATATCGGAACAGAATCAAAAACGATTTCTCCTCGAGTGGTAGTGACAGGTGAAGCGGCCACGTGGCGTGAAATAATTTGCATTGAAGGCGGCGCCAGGCAGTGCTCGTACTGTATGACGATGTTTCCTCGAGAATGTCGTGCTGTGTGCAGCAGACCAGCCACAGCTGCGCAGTGCGCACCGTTTCTCTCCCCCGCCTCTATTTTGCACGCTTCTGCTTTTCATAACACAGGGGACGACAGCACGAGGTGCTGGGTCAGTTGTCAGGCTCGGACTTCATGGATGTTTGAATTCTTGATGCGTTCTGCCTGTCGTCAGATCGCTTGATGAACTTTACCGCGTTTATGGCGCGTGTTGAGGAAGTTTTGAATCGTCCATATTGGCAGCACTTGAAGTCTGCGAGCGGAAGAACGAAATAGCAGCTTAGAGAGTTTCTATGACATCGAGTGCGTGTGGATAATTGGCCATTCATTTGGTGAACTAGTAGTTTTCAGGTCAGGTCAGCTTCCATCAGTCAGAAGCTTAACTATAGTTTTAGCTCAGCAGCGCATACCAGTGTAGGGTATCAGTGTCGCACCTTTTCGTATCGCACCTAGTATAGCACACCAACAGTACAGTAAGTAGCCATGGACGACCCGAGTCCTAGCCGAGTGAAACAGCTTGCGTCTCGATTCGGGCCGCAGGTGTCCAAGGTGCAGCGCATCGCCTCCATGTTCGAATGCGAGCCGCCATCGCCGTCCACGGCGATCTCACTCTCACGCCGCGTCGGCGGCAACAGCACCGCCAAAATTCAGTACAAGCGATCCCAATCGGACCGTCCAAGTCTAACCGGGGATCCCCAGCAGCCCGTCAGACGACAGCCAATCCCCTCCCCGAGAACAGTCGAAACTCCTGTCTTGCGAAGCGAACCTAGCAGGGAATTCGTCGGCGGCGGAGAGCAGTTGGCGGAGGAGCAATTGACGGAGGAGCAGTTAGCGGAGGAGGGGTTAGACGGGATGAGCATGGAGGAGATGGAAGCGCTCTGCGAGATCATGGCGCTCGAGGAGTCGCAAGCCCGCGCGGCGCGCATGGAAGCGCTGGGCTACGAGGTGGCGGGCGGGGAGGGGCGCGAGGAGTACCGCAAGGAGGGGGATGGCGGGGAGGGCGGATGGTGGCAGGTGGGGTACAGCGACGGCCCCGCGGGTGGAGAGGCGAGCGGTAGTGGGGAAGCGGAAGGCGGGAGGACAGAAGGTGGGGAAGGGGTTGCAGTGGTTATTGGGGATGACGGAGAGGGTGACAATAAGGAGGGAGGCTCGGTGGGCTCCTTGATTCGGTCCATCGAGGGACTACCCAAGCAAAGCAAGCAACAACCTCCGCCACTCTCCCCAGAAAAAACGCCAGGCAAGTCGCGCAAGTCGTCAGGTGGAAAGAAGAGCAGGGAGAAGCGCAGAGGCGAGCCGGGGGGCGCGGAGACCGTCGCGGGCGCGATTGAGCGGTTCAGCGGCAGCGGGAAGGACCCTGTGCGAGTCTCAACGTCCCGAATGACGGCGTCCACGTCAGAACCGTCGCTGGCTCTCGCTGCTGCTGTCGCGACCGCGGGGAATCGGCGCTATGGCCTGGCGAATGGCGGCACCGCCTCGCCTATGGAAGACAGGCCGGCGGGAATGGCGGGTGGAGGAGCAGCGAGGGGCTCTGCGGGACTGAGTGGGGAGTTCCCCTTGGAGCTATCGTCCAGTCCCTCTGTGTCCGTTGTCGATGCTGAGCTGTCAAGGAAGAAGACTGAGGTGGCACGATATGAAACTGAGCTGGCACGGCGCCGTGCTGAGCTGAACCGACTGAGGGTTGAGCTGGCGAGTGTGAGCGTAGAGAAGGTGCAAGCGGATATCGCGCTGAATCGGTTAAAGCAGGAAGTAGAGGATTGGTCGTATGTTCCCGCCGACGGGACAGGGCAGGGAAGAAACGAAGCGGACGAGGCAGGGGAAGCAGGCGAAAGCGGTGCGCCTGATGTAAAGAAGGATGGGGACGGAGGAAGCAGCGAGGGGAATTCTTCTCCTGGCCGGTTGAAGGCGCAACTGGGGAAGGTGAGGCTTGAGAACGAGCGACTGAAGAGACGAGAGAAGAGCCTCACTGCTGACGTGGAATACATCGAAACCATGCTGGCGCAGGAGAAGGGCGAGTCAGCAGCGCTGCGGCGTGAGCTGGCGGAGGTCAAACAGCATCGAAAAGATCTTGACAAGGAGCTCTCAGCTGCGCAGAAAGAACTCTCCTCCCTCAGGCGATCAGCAGCAGTAGCGGAGAGGCGGGCAGCAGCAGAGGAAGCAGACGCGGCGTTGCTGCGGCAGCAGCTGCAGAAGGCACAGGCGGCGGAGATGGGGCTACTAGAACAGCTGCAGCTGGCGACCAAGGAGGCGATGGGGCTGCGGAAGACGCTGGTGTGGAGCAAGGAGACGCGCGAGGACGCGGAGGAGTGGGAGCGCGGGCTGCAGGGCACACTGGCGGAGCAGGTGCAGCGCAATGGCGAGCTGGAGGTGAAGGGCGGCGAGATGATGACGCGGCTGCTGGTGCTGGAGAAGGAGCTCGCGGAGGAGCAGCAAAGGCGCAGCGCTGCCGAATTCCAGGTGGGCGCTGGCTGGAGTAATTGAAGTTGTTGTACATGAAGTATGTATCATCATCCTGCTTCCCCTCCTCGATCCTGCCTCTTGGCGCTTGCCTCCCCCTGTTTTGTGCTCTTCATTGGGCAGGCACGGGATGCAGTGGCAGCGAAGGAACTTCTGGAGGAGGAGGTGATGCTGCTGCGGCACACCAGAGGGGCGATGAAAGATGCGTGGGCGGTAGGGGAAGGCAAGGAGGGGGGGGTTGATGGTGGAGAAGGGAGGAGGGCAAGCAGCAGAGCAGAGGAGGGGGCGGGCGATAGGAATGCAAAGGTGGCATCCTCTGATGGGCTCAAGATGGAGGTGCCTGCTCGAGTGTGGGACATTCTCGACCAGGTGAGACCCCTGCACCCGACCTCTCATGCATCACTCTCCCTTTCCCCCTCCCCCATTCGCCCACCCACCCTCCCCTGAGCTCTTCTCTGGTCCCCTCCCCATTTTCCACCACACCACTCTCCCCTTTTCCCCCATGCAGCACCCGAATGTGGCTCTAACTCCTGTTGTATCTGACCGTGAGTGCTCTCACTCACCATCAGCTGTGCTCTCCCTACGTGCTGTGGGTGCAGGTGGAGGAGACGAAGGCGAGGGGCATGGCGGAGCGGGACGAGTTGACGCGCCTGCACTGGCTGACGGCCTGTGTGCGTGGCGAGCTGCACAAGGCCAGATTCGCCGCCATGCAAGCCGCTGCCTCCACCAACCCCACTGCCACCGCCACTGCCACCGCCACTGCCGGCTCCTCCCCTGCCCCTCCTCTCGTGCCTGCGGCAGGCCTTGCCAAGCCAATGGGCAAGGCTGTTTCCAAGAAGCTTTCGCTCGTGGTTGACTTGGATCAGCATGCTGCTGCCTCTGCACCTGCAGCTCCACCAGACTCTGCAGCTGCCTCAGCTGCCTCAGCCACGAGTGCATCAGGCACCACGTTTTCCACCACTGCCAGCACGCCCCGCACGCCCCCCCACTCCACCACTGCCGCCAGTGCATCCGCGTCAGCCTCAGCGGGCAGCAAGTTTGTGCGCTGGTTCTCCCACCGCTCCGACCGACCTGCGCATAGCAGCGCCGCCGGTGCTGCTGCAGTGCCGGCTGCCTCAACGGCTACTGTTGAATCAGCAGCAGCGGCAGCAGCAGACGAGGGAAGTGCCTCTCCTCAGGCACCTGATCCTGTGCCTCGGGTGGCCACAGCCGAGTCTCTTCCTAGCCTGGCAACCACATCACTCCTGCCTGCCCAATCAGCTCCCTCCACTCCAGCCCCTGCTGCGGCTACGGCTGTCCCTGCTGCTGCAGCGGCTGCCACCACACCATCTGCCAGGTGAGGCGATTCTCTGCTGACTCCAATCTGTGCCGGATTGGTACCTTGGCTCGTATCTCGTCGCTGTTGTTTATCTCTTGAATCTGATACCTAGTGTTTCTTTGGCTGAAGGCTCATCCTATTTTCTCGCTTTCCTGCTGTAATTCAATTATCGTCCCCTCCCCTACCCCGTTTGCCCACCCTCCGCTCAACCCCTCTTTGCAATGGCCATACGCAGAAAGCATCATTTGCTGTCCTTCAGGAGAATGACCTCGAACAAATGAGATGCCTCTTCACAGTTGATCCTTGTTGTCATGTGTCACCCTCCCCATGGTAACCCCCACCACCACCACCAATCACTGCTGTGATGTGATACTGCATGGTTCCACTAGCAAGTGGATTGTAGTATCTGCTAGTTTTGTAAGTTGGTTATTCCTTGCTGGATGGCCAAATCTGAAAGATGGGCTTCATAGTATCTAGGTGCTCTAGCAGAGTGTCAATCTTGATTTGCTTTTTGGTATTGCTTCTCTACTAATTGGGCAGGCTACATTACAGCATACAAGCCCATCGTATAGTGAGCTTCGCGAAATGGATGTGTTGAACAACGGAGCGCGGCTGTTCGCACGTTCTCCTTTCTCTGGAGTTTGGCGACGGATAGCTGGTCGCGTCTGATCGCCAAACGGCCCTTGCGACTCGGTGAAGCAGCATTTTCCTCCCATCCAGTTTTTGTACGATCGTAAAATTGGAAGTCCGTGACTGTTTTTCTCTAAAAATAGAGTGACACTCAAATTATCGAAAGAGGGAAATCCTTGTGCGAGAACAATTCACATCTGCCCAACGAATTGAGGTCTCAATCAACTCAAGCGACTCCGCCAGCCGACAAACCGCGACCCGGAAATACACGACCCGAGGATGGGCACGCGAAATGCGCCTAACTGAAAACTCCTGGCTCGGCTTGCCATCATCATCATCACTGCTAGTCACTACCATCGCCTCCCTCGCCAGTGTTCCAAGCAGAGCCGAGTGACTTCACCATTACTTGCATCGACCAAGCAACCGACACCAAACGCGAAGAACGCACAGCGTTGTTTCTTTGTGGACATCTGGGCCTTGAATCTAGGGTCCAACGTGCTGCCACTCGTAGCCCAGCCTTTTTCTTTGGCATCGAAGCTCCGCGCTTTGGGCATTGGTCCGTACAACGACGACCCATGTGATACTATTGAGTCAGCATTTTCGCGCGCCAAACAATCCTACTAATCTGGCGCTCATTGGATGCGTCAATTACACCGCTCTAACCGCCCTACAGGCCCAAATCTGCACGGCTTCTAGAAGGTGGCATCCGTGTAGCGTGCAACGAACACTTGAGATTCGTATCCCCAATGGATTCGCGGCGTGCACGCAGTCGCTTGATTCCGAGACCGTCTCATCTCCCGGCCACCATGCTCTCGCTCCTTCTCCTCGTCGCCTCTTCCTCCCTACTCCCCCTTCCGGCTCGATCGTCCAGCGCACTCCTTCGGTCCCGCACGAGCGACGAATGGGCAGATGCCGCTGTGCGATGGCTCATGCGACAAGCAAACGGCTCTGACGACGGTATCGCACGTCGCTCGCTAGTCGGGAGTCGAGCATCAGCAGGTTGCGACTACCGACGAGGGAGGTAAGCTCCGCGGAATGCTGTTGTCGTTCTTCCGCTCCTCTTAGCCTCTCTCTCCCCCACCTCCCCGCAATCCCTTATCTCCCCTCACCCCGTTGATTCCACCCATCCTTTAATCCCCCTGTTGCATCCCTTCTATCTCCCACCGCGCGTCGATCTCCTCCTCTCGCTTCCTCCTGAGTATCTGGCTTCTTTCTCTTCAAATTCTCTGCAATCCACGAATGTGCCTTTTCCCCTCAAATCTCCCGCACAACCCTCACCTGCCCCACCGCCCGCCCCGCCTTAACCGCTCTCCGCGTGCAGCTGGGTGCCCACGTCCTCCATCCGCAACTACAAGCCGCCCTACGCCAGCGGCTGCGCCGGGGGCTTCTCGTGTGACACTAACGGGCGCAACCCCGCCGGATACGTGTGGGTGCCCGCGCCGCCTTGCTCCTACGACCGATGGAGGTACGACCGATGGAGGTACGACCGATGGAGGTACGACCGATGGAGGAAGAATGCTCTGCTCGCCCCCTTGCTTCCTCCTCGCCCAATCCTTCGCCGTCCTCCGGTTGGCGAGACTGCCTGTGTTGATTAGCACACCCCTTCGACGTGCTTCCCGGCTCCCTCCCGTGCGGCAGATTCAATCCCAAGACGTTTCTCGAGACCATGCGGAACAAAATCGTCGCATTTGTGGGTGATTCGCTAAGCGACAACCTGCACGCGTCGTTCCATTGCATCCTCTCCGCGTACACAAAAATTGAGGTGCGCGTTTGCAATCTCTTCAAGTAAATTCCCCCTCTAAAGCAAGAATCCGCCGCGCAAGGGCCCATTTTTAAACGAATTAAATACAAATCCATCCTCAGTTGGCTGACGTCGGATTATAACACCGTTGTTTTTGCCCCTCGCCTCCGTCCTCGTGGCCCTCCACCACCCCTCTTCACTCCCGCCACCCCTCTTCACTCCCGCCACCCCTCTTCACTCCCGCCACCCCTCTTCACTCCCGCCACCCCTCTTCACTCCCGCCACCCCTCTTCACTCCCGCCACCCCTCTTCACTCCCGCCACCCCTCTTCACTCCCGCCACCCCTCTTCACTCCCGCCACCCCTCTTCACTCCCGCCACCCCTCTTCACTCCCGCCACCCCTCTTCACTCCCGCCACCCCTCTTCACTCCCGCCACCCCTCTTCACTCCCGCCACCCCTCTTCACTCCCGCCACCCCTCTTCACTCCCGCCACCCCTCTTCACTCCCGCCACCCCTCTTCACTCCCGCCACCCCTCTTCACTCCCGCCACCCCTCTTCACTCCCGCCACCCCTCTTCACTCCCGCCACCCCTCTTCACTACCGCCACCCCTCTTCACTACCGCCACCCCTCTTCACTCCCGCCACCCCTCTTCACTCCCGCCACCCCTCTTCACTCCCGCCACCCCTCTTCACTCCCGCCACCCCACCACCTCCCGCCACCAGTTTAAGAAGTCGTGGCTGGGCGGCGCGAAGCCGGTGGGGTCGCTGCACGCGGCGCAGTACAACTTCACGCTGCTCTCCATCAACAGCGGCTACATCGTGCAGAGCCCCCGATACGTGAGTCGCCCGCCATACGTGGGTCAGCTGTCATACGTGAGTGCCGCCATACGAGAGTCAGCCGCCTTACGCGAGTCACCCGCCATGCATGAATTGCCAACCATGCGCGAGTCAGAGCCCGATGTGTGGCGAATCCATCTCCTCTTGAGCACACCTCCCTCCCTGACGTCTCCTCTCCCTCTCCAACTTCCTTCCTCCCTGCTGCCCCCTTGCCTGCTTCCTTCTCCGTGCTTCCCCCCTCCGTTCTCCTCTCTCCCCCCCCCCTGCGTCCCGCCTCCATTCCTCCCCCCCGTGCTTTCTTCCTCCGTGCTCCCCCCCGGCTGCTTTCGCCTTCCTATTCTTCCCCTCCTGCTAACCGTGTGTCTGCTCTCCCCTGCCCATTCCCATCCCTGGCCACTTCCCCCCTGGCTGTTTCCCCCGGGGCGGCAGTACAAGGACCAAACACAGCCATACGTGGTGAACCCCAAGTGGGCAGGCATTCTGCGCTACACGCACTCTATCATCTTCAGCGCCGGCCACTGGTTCTTCCACCCGGTATGCCCCATGCTCTCTGCTTCTTTCACCCGGTATGCCCCATGCTCTCTGCTTCTTCCACCCGGTATGCCCCATGCTCTCTGCTTCTTTCCACCCGGTATGCCCCATGCTCTCTGCTTCTTTCACCCGGTATGCCCCATGCTCTCTGCTTCTTCCACCCGGTATGCCCCATGCTCTCTGCTTCTTCCACCCGGTATGCCCCATGCCTCTCTGCTTCTTCCACCCGGCATGCCCCATGCTCTCTGCTTCTGCCACCCGGTAACGCCTGGGCCGCTCTAAGCGCAGTGTGATGCAACTGGTCCCCTTAGCTTCTCCATACATCCCTTTATCCCAATCTACCCCATCCCCAATCTATTGTTGAATCCTATTCCTCCCATCATGTCTCACCAATCTCGTCCGTCCTACACTTTTCCCCTCCATACCGTCTGTCCCTCAGCCAAGCACAAAGCTTGGGTCCAACCCCGATTGGAAGCCCATGGGGGCATACCGCAAGGCCATGGGTACACTATTTGACTACTTTGAGAAAACACCCTACAGCGGCCTCCCCATCTTCATGACCTTCTCCCCAATCCATGCCGGGAATGCGTGCGCCACCGCCAATGCCCCATTTGCGAATGAGACCGATGGCGTTGCGCATCTCAATGGCTACACCATACCAGCCATGAAAAAGCAAGTGTCGATATACAAGCGATCCAAGAAAATCCGGGTTGCGCAGATCACTTACATGAGTGCCCAGCGCCCTGATGCACATCTGCGATCAAAGAGAAAGGACTGCAGCCACTGGTGCTTGCCAGGGGTCCCTGATGCGTGGGCTGATGTGGTTTACAACATGATGATGAATTATTATTAGCATGTAGCCTGCAGGGGGTGGTAGCGTTTTGAATATTGCGGGTAGTTTTTGGAGATGCCTACCATACAAGTCCAGCAGCCAATAGCTGCAAGGACGTTAGGGTGGGGTTTGCAATGAATATTGAATTTGACCTATTTGAGAAGTTAAATAAGTCTATGGAATGGCACTCGCGATCTTTCGCGCAACTATTGCTGCAATCGGAACTTCTGCCCTTGGGATCTGCAACCCCGATCTGACAGAAGCAGCTCTGCTGAAGCCGAATTTCGATCAACCCATTCGCGTGGCATACATATTCTTGGTACAACACAAATATGGAGAAAGAGGAACCGAGACTGGCTTGTTCTCTCACCATTACGACTCCTTCCCCGTTTTTCCGCCACTGCTGCCGTCGCAGTAGGAATGGCGCGCAAAGAGCGGGCAAGTGCGTCCTCGGCGTTAGCTGACGTGGCGTGGATGGCGGGCGTGGCGACGTGCGTCAAGCTGCTGCTGGTGCCGGCGTATCGCAGCACGGACTTCGAGGTGCACCGCAACTGGCTCGCCATCACGCACTCGCTGCCTCTCTCGCAGGTGCGCGCGTCAACCCATGCATTTCGCCAACTCTAGAATCCAGCAACCCGTTCCGCGTACCTGTACTTCCGATTCGAGGAATCTCACCTCCCAGCTGAATCACGACCAGGTTTTGAAGTTAAAATGTTCCCCGCGTCCCGAAGCTTAGAGAGATCTCCTTCCCCTCGCTCCACGGACACACTCTCTGGCCACCCGCATCCCCTCCCCGGCTCGCACGCGCCTCTTGCTCCCTCCGTTCCCCGGCAAACGTGCACCCCTTTACTGCGGCAATGGCAGTGGTACGTGGACGCGACGAGCCCGTGGACGTTGGACTATCCGCCGCTCTTCGCCTTGTTCGGCTTTCACGTGCCCCTTACTCCCCCCCTCCGCTCCATTGCATTTTTACCTCTGTGCGCTGCTACAACCGCAGTGGTACGTGGACGCGACGAGCCCTTGGACGCTGGACTACCCGCCGCTCTTCGCCTTGTTCGAGCGCTGCCTCGCGCTGCTCGCGTGCCGCGTCGACCCGCTCATGACCGACCTCGTTAACGGCCTCGAGCACGCCAGCTACGCCACCGTGCTCTTCCAGGTGTGAGGTTGTGCTGCTCGTGTCGTCTCAAGTTATCATTGCTGCAAGTTGAAGGCACACCCAAACGTCACGTCACAACGATGCATGTAACGATACAAAATCCGATTGGATACAGATCCAATCCCCCTCCCGGCTGTCCCCCGCAGCGTCTATCAGTGATGGGCACGGACTGCCTGCTGGCCGTAGCAGCATGGCGCTGCACGCGCGGCCTGCCCTCCCGGGCGCACCGCAACGTGGCGGCGGGGGCGGTGGTGTTATCAGCAGGGCTGCTGCTGGTGGATCACATTCACTTCCAGTACAACGGCATGCTGCTCGCCATGCTCCTGCTCTCGCTCTCGCTCCTTGTTGTACGTTCCTCGCATCATGGCTCTGCGCGGGTTGATTCGGAGAATTCTCATAATCAACCCACAACAAGGGGGGGGAGGAAGACGGGGGGTTGTGCGGTGGTGCTGTCAGCAGGGCTGCTGCAGGTGGATCACATGCACTTCCAGTAAAACGCCATGCTGCTCGCCATGCGTCTGCTCTCCCTCTCATTCCTCGCTGTACGTTCCTCACATGATGGCTCCGCATCATGCGCTGCCGCCGCCGCCCGCTGCTGCTTTCATTCCATCAGTCGCTCACTCCTTGTACTGCTTGATGTCATGTTATAATTCTCACACGCATGGCTCGGTGTGTTGCGTGGCATGGCAGGAGGGGAGGCATGTGTGGGCGTCGCTCACCTTCGCATGTCTGTGCTGCTTCAAGCACCTCTTTGCCGTCGCCGGTCCCTTCTTCCTCGTCTTCCTCCTCCGCCACCACTGCTTCCCTCCACCATCCGCCACTGCCGCACCGCTCACCACCGCACGCAGCAGCACCAAACCGTCCAGACGCATTTCCACTGGCTCAAAACATCAATCCGCTTCAGCCTCGGCGCCAGGCAGCTCCATCCCCCTCCTCGCCTCGCTCGCCCGTATAGTCACACTGGGCGCAGTGGTCCTTGCAGTGCTGCTCCTCTCCTTCGCCCCCTTCATAGTGACAAAGCAGATCCCCAACCTGCTTGCCCGCCTGTTCCCCTTCGGCCGTGGTCTCATGCACGCATACTGGGCGCCCAACTTCTGGGCGCTCTACACCCTCGCTGACAAGCTCCTTGCTGCTGCAGCTTCGATTGCAGGCTCGGCAGGAGGTCCGGGAGTGGAAGGGAAGGGCGGGTGGACTCGGGGATTGGTGGGTGATTCAGTGGGGTTCAGTGTGGTGCCGCAGGTGACGCCGCTGGCGTCACTGCTGCTGGTGCTGGGTGCTATGGCGCCCGTGCTGCTGCATATATGGCTCCGCCCTTTTGCCTACATCTGTAGTGCTGACACTGATGGTGCTGACAGGGATGGTGCTGACAAGGATGGGAAAGAATGTAAGGGGAGTGAACCCCATGGCACGCCCACAGGGGAGCAGCGGCGGTGGAGCATGCAGGCCATAGCAGCAGCGCTGGCACACGTGTTTCTGAGTGCGTTCCTGCTGGGGTGGCACGTGCATGAGAAGGCGGTGCTGCACTTCCTGCTGCCGCTCTCCCTCCTCGCCTCCTCCTCCCCCGCATGGGCGTCTGAGTTTCTCATTCTTGCCACTGGTGAGTGCACGCTGGTAGCCCTTCTGTCATGCTTTATCTCTCCCATTTCCGCTCTTGCCTTGCCTTACCTGGCCTGCCCGTGCCATGCCTGTCCGTCCCGTCCCTGTCCGTGCCCTGCCTGGGTGTGCCTTACCTCTATCCCCCCGCCCATCTCTACGCTGTGTGTCTGCGTGCCATCCTCACTCCCATCTTCTTGCTACCCCATGCACCCACCCCCCCCACACCTCCAGTGTCACACTACGCTCTCCTGCCCCTCCTCTTCACACTCCCCGAGTACCCAATCAAGATCCTCCTCCTCTCACTCTCCTCCCTCGCCCTCCTCCTCTCCTCCCTCCGCCTCTTCTCCCCACCTCCCAACCGCCAAGCTATTTCCTCAGCACACCAACCACCTCCTTCCCAAAACTCTTCGAATCCACAACTCCCTGAGTTGCAGTCCCCATTGTGGTTGCACAGGTTTCGAGTAGTGCATGCTCTGGGTGTTTTACCCTTAGAAATGCTGTGTCAGCTGCTGTACCACCACCCACGGCTGCATGCGCGCTTGCCTTTCCTTCCGCTGCTCCTCACTTCCGTGTACTGTGCTGTGGGCATCGCCGTAGCTTGGGCTGTACAGTTGTATGCGATTGTCAGTTCCTCCTGACCCCTCCTTGTGTCCACGGCATTATGCAGTCTGATTTGCATGATGCTTTTGTACATACTAATCATCTTGAAGTTTTGCAGGCTTATGGTAATTGCATGCTCGGGTATTCATTATAAGACAACAGCCACATGGAAAACTGAATCCAACACTGCTGTATTTCAGGATTCAACTGCATGTAACCATTCACGTCCCTATACACTAAATCTACACTGCTCCATTACGTTTTCCGTATCCGTCTCGCAATCTTCTCCAGCAGTTTGTGCACCACCTTGGGGTCCTTCACCTTGGGCTTGCCGCCCTTCTTGCCGTCCGCCTTGCGCCCATCGGAGAAGAGCAGGTAGTAGTCCAGCTGGCACGCGTCCGCCAGGTGGTGGAATGTTGGATCCGGCTCCTCCTCTGGCCGGATCTCCAGCACTGCCCCTCCTGCTCACACCCAGGGGAAAGGGTGGGGAGAGAGAGGGGCGGTAGGGGAGGAAATGCAGATGATGGCAAGAGGGTGGAGAAGAAAGGACAGCAGAGAGAGAAGAGATGATGCAGCCAGGCAAACGCTGGCAGCCTCTCCTCTTGTGGTGGAACGCTCATTGAGAGCATGGGGAAGCCATGGCCCATGGACGGGGCAGGCAAGGGGGAGTGGGGGTTGACGATTTGGCCAACGTCAACACCAACACCAAAGCAGCCAAGTCTCACTCAGAGAACCCGCAATATCTCTCAGAGCAACCAGCAGCTAGCAGCTAGCAGCAAGCAGCTAGCAGCTTTACATAGCAGAGCTGATGATTCCCCTCCCCAATTACTGACCAGCAGGCATGAAGACCATATCAGCCAGCACATTATCATGTGCGGCCACCAGCAGCCGCGCGCGGTTGAAGAGCTCCTTGCGCTTGCCGAAGGGCAGAGACCCGTCCCGGTACGTGACAATGCGGTCCTAGGGCAGCCACTTGAGCAGCTGCTTCCCCCCAAGCACTCACCGGCAGGCATGAAGACCATATCCGCCAGCACATTATCATGTGCCGCCACCAGCAGCCTGGCTCGGTTAAACAACTCTTTGCGCTTGCCAAAGGGCAGCGACCCGTCGCGGTACGTCACAATGCGGTCCTGCGGGAGCCACTTGAGCAGCTGCTGCGTGAGCTTGAGCGTCTGCACCAGCGGCTTCCACTCGTCGCGCATCGCCACCACCACGATCCAGTCGCTGCCCGCTGACAGGTCCTCGCCCTTGCGCCTGCGGTACGTTGGCTTGAACTCTGCCGTGGGGGGAGGAAGGGGGAGGTGGAGGAGAGAGAAGCGGGTGATTTGGGTGTTAAGCGAATGAAAGTACGCGGGGGGGAGGTCTGCGGATGGTGGGAGATGGGGAGGCGTGGCAGGAGAGCAGATGGCATGGCAGCAGATGGCATGGCAGCAGATGGCATGGCAGCAGATGGCATGGCAGCAGATGGCATGGCAGCACATGACGGCAGTGAATGGGTGGTGGGGCACGAGAAAAGAAGGCGGGTGTACCATGGCGGTAGAGGGGGAGGCCGGGTTTGGGCAGCAGGTTGCGGTGGCGCAGGTACGACCACATGGCCCTGCTGGGCCTCCCACACCGCTGCTTCAGTGGCTGCACAAACGGGGGCGACGGCAACGGGGGCAGCACAGGAGTCGGGGGGTGAGGGGAGCGAAGGAGAATGCAGTGAGCACGGGGGTGAGGGGCGAGGAGTATGTGGTGCTGTGAGGTGCTGTGAGGTGCTCTGATCTAAAGTACTCGTAAGTGTTCTGAAATGCTCGGAGTTGGCCGAAGATGCTCTACGTGGCAGCACTCACGAGAAAGAGGCGTTCAGCGAAGAACAGCTCGCCCTCCTTGAGAATCTGCGGGTTCATGCGCTCCAGGCGCACCCCTACGAGCTCCCAGTGGCCCAGCCCCGTCGCCTGCTCCATCTGGTTCTTCACATGCCGGTCCCGCAATCCCAGCGCCACCGGCACCCCCTCCCCCTTGAGCAGTGGCAGCACCGCGTCAAGAGTCACTATGGACGGCACTAGGTCTAGCATGTAGGCTCGGGCGGACCACCCGAACCAGTCGACGAGGGAGATGAGGGAGGGGAAGGCGGAGACGGGGGTGGTGCTGGTGTAGTGGAAGGGTGAGTCGGCGGCGCAGGCGTTGTGGTCGAAGAGGTGTGTGGCGTTGAACACCTGGCCTGCCACGTTGATGTACACGTTGTGTAGGAGCAGCACCTGGTTGGGTTGCCAGGGAAAAAAGGGAGAGATGGGTGAAGGGGAAGAAATATGGGTTAGGTGCGGTTGTGTGGCGATGAATACCGGCCCCGCCATGTGGATGCGGTGTGGGGAAGGGAGACGGCTGGAGTGGGCAAAGGGATGGGCGAAGCGAGGTGGGGATGATGGGAGAATGGTGTGTGGGTGCAGGTGAGCGTTGCACTTTGGTGCACCCGCTGTGTGGCAGCCTCTGCCGCAGCAGTGATGGGTGGGTTCAGGGGAGCGGGTTGAAGGAGCGGAATGCGAGCAAAGGTGGGGGATGGGGGTTGGGATGGGAGAGAGGGGGCGCATGGGAGAGAGGGGGCGCATGGGAGAGAGGGGGCGCATGGGAGAGAGTGATTGAGAGGTCGCGGTGGGATGCAGGGGGGAAGGTGAGGATAGGCGAGTGGGTGGGTTATTTCCTTTTATTCTCAGAGAATCCGTATCATCAAGTTAGCTGTTTAATTTACAGAACTATCCTGGGCGGGGGTCCAAAACCTGAACCCCAAACCCTGAACCACGTGGAGTACGTTTCTTTTCGCAGATGGAGTGCGCAGCTCGTGGTGTGCGTGAGCGCACGTTCCCCACGCATTCCCTTTCGCGTATCACACGAGCCCAGTGCGCTTCTCTGCATCTCTACAATCAACAAGGACTGCCGCCTACTCGCATCTCAGCATTCACTTCAGCATGGAGTGTTGTTGTGGACGGATTTCGTTCATTCACTGATTGATAGCTGTTGCCTTCATTTCCCCTCTCATCCCCCTCCCCTCCCGCCCCTTCACCCCCCACCCTTCACACAACTCTTTCCCCCTCACTCCCCTGACCCCCCCCTCACTCTCAAACCATTGCGGGGACGCACCTGCGCGGACCACGGCTCGTGGGGCTGCTTGTCGGCCTCCTGCATGCACCCGGCGTCCGTCGCATTCGCACAATTCGCTGGTAGCGACGCTGGCGAACGTAACACGTCTTCGATCGGGCTTCGCCAGCACGACGCGATGCCCGGGAAGCCCTCGTAACCGTACTCAAACGTCGGGCATTCCGGACCGCGGCTCGCCTCGAAAGGCGGATCTACCTTCCCCGGATTGTTCTCCTGGAATCTCAACGCGTCTAAGTACACACGCTGCAGGTTCTTCTTATCGATTTTAACTTTCAGCACTTTGCGCTTCGGCTTCGCTATTGTCAGATCCGGGAACTTGCCGTTGAGCGGGGCCCAGCGCGCTAAAGGCGCTTTCACTCGTCGCTTTTTCCGTTTCGTCGTTGCGGGTTTCGTCACAATGGCCGGTTGCGTCACGCTGACGATCACGTTAGCAGTGGCGGGTACAGCAGGTCGCGGCTTCTCGCTCATCGCATCTCCCGTTGACAATCCATCGCCCCGCAAACCGGCAGATTTGACAAGCGGTGCATCGTCTGCTGTTCTACGCGCCGCACGCCCCACCTCATTCCCCGTCGAAACTCCCACCGCGTCGGCCGCCGCCTTGCCTTGCTCGCTGGTGGTTTCTTGCGTGTTCTGCGCCGCGGTCACCGCTCCCAAGTCCTCCGAATCTACCGTCCCCGCGAGATCCGCTTCCTCCCCCTGCCCGTCTGTTCCTGATAGCGATATTTGCGGCACCGGCTCCTCGTTGGCCAGCGAATCGCTCGCAAATACGTCTATCGATGTCGCCCCCGCGGCTCCCGTACCGAGGAGGTCTCTAACGAGCGGCTTGTCCCCGCCGCCGGCTATTTTCGCGCGTCGACTGAGGGCATTTAACGACGACGCGATGGCCTCAGAGCGCGAGGAGAGGACCCAGAAGAGGACGCCGGCGGCGATGAAAAGCAGCATGAAGCGCATGCAGCTGCCGCCGCCCACGCTCGCCACCGTGCTCGGCTTCCGCTGCACTCTCTGCGGCGCTCGCCGCTTCGGCTTCATGCTGCCGAGTCGGATCAATGGCTCAGATTGATCGAGTAAAAATCAGGGAAAGTAGTTTGCAGGTCTAGATGTTGAGAGAGTCGAATAGTTGAGGGCTAGACGCGGCTACCTAACGGATACAACGGGTGATCTTTGATGGATGCTGGCCGGACATGGCATGCACAGCAGTAAACTAATGATATTGGGGTGATGGGTTTGAAATGCGAAGTGGCAGCAATGAGTCGGAAATTTGAAGAAATTCGAATCTGTGGCCATCGCTGCCGCTGCTCCCTGGTTTTCACATGTCACGGGAACCTAACCAGCTGGGCCAATGATGTGCCTTTCCCTCAACGACCTCAACCACCAATCATAAGCATCCCTTGCCTGCGCCCTTGGTACGAGACTCATTGGATGAACAGGTTTGGCTTCGGTTGGCCTGGTCAATCTGGTCAGGTTTCAGCTGAGGTGCTGTGACAGAGCCTGGAAGTAGGGAAAGAGGTTCGGAGCGCAGGTTCGGTACGAAATGCTCCTCAGCAGTGGCTTGGCAGGTGAAACCGAATCTCCTGTCAATAACGCCTGAATCACAGGTGTGGGTGCAGGTGCCGCAGGTGCCATGCCAAGCAGCGTGGCGTGGAAGTGCCACCGTGAAAAAACTGGGAGAAACCCATTGGCTATTGCGTTCCGCTACGATGACATGTACACGTACAGTACAAGCATTTCCTCCCCCTAAAAAGCTGCTGTTTGAGCTGGTGCGGAGGTCAAGACGAACCGCCGCCGTCATAGTAGCATCATGCGTCGCCGTGTTGGTTCAGTTCAGTTGGACCAAGAAGCAAGCTCGTGGGTGTTTTCGTTCCATTTCCTCCACGCCTGGTTTGCTGTTCGTTGTGCGTTCATTCAGGTTGGCGTTTGAGCCGCGGCCACTTGGTAACAGGTGCATATGCCGCCGACCTTGTAACGAATAAGGGCCATAGTCACCAAAACGACATGGCAGACTAATAACGAAGCCAGGGCTCGCCTTATCGAAGCCAGTCGGAGGGATGGTTCGTCGAAAGCTCGCAGCGCTGTCGCTAAGCGTCGCTCTCTTCGTCGCGTTCTCTGTCGTTCAACCCACCCCGACGGCCGTCGCGGTGAGCCCGCTGGGTCTCGCCGCCATTCAGCGCCACTCGCGGCTGGTCGCGCGCTCGCGGTCGCATCGCGGCTTCAACTACCTCAAGGGAAGGTACTATCCGGACAGGCTTTGCCCCGGGAGGAGAGAAGAGTCGAGTCAACCTGAACGCAGACCTCCAGGGTTTCTGCATTAACGATAGCTGTAAATGCGGAGAATGGTTTCTGGAAGACTGATTGAGCTGGTAGCACGCGCAAGAGGTGTGTCCATTCCAGTTGCGGACCCCACAGACACGGATATTCCAGGTTGGGATCCCACATTGTCTTTGGCGATCTTTCAACCTGCCCGTACATGATTCTTCCACCACCTTGGATTACAGGCAGTGCACTCTTTGCACTCGTGACCCTTGTTGACTCCCGTTGACTCTGTTCGCCTCCCTGTTGACTCTCGTTGACTGCAGCTGGGTGGACACGTCCACCATACCCGGCTACAGGCCGCCCTACAGCGCCAACTGCTCGCAGTTCAGCTGTGAAGGCGTGGCAGACGGGCGCAAGAACCCCGCTAGTTTCGTGTGGCAGCCCTTCCCGCCCTGCTCCTACCAACTCTGGCGGTAAGGTCCGGCTCCTCTGCTCTCCGCACCCCCTGCTCCTTCCTGCAACCTTGCTCCCCCGTTCCCTGCCTGCTGTGTCACCCCCATCTCAGCACACACACAACCCACGCACTCCTTCCCCCTCCGTTTCTCTCCTTACGCTCACAACCCCACCTCCGCTCTCTCTCCCCTCGCCGCCCAATAGGATGCAGCCACGTGTGCTGTTGGAGAGGTATCGCAACAGTGTGATTGCATTCGTGGGCGACTCGCTGAACGACAATCTCGTGGCCTCCTTTCGCTGCACGCTCGCTGCCGTCACGCCCTTCCAGGTGCATCCCCCCTCACTCCCACTGCCCATGCTCGGGTCAGCGCGTTGAACACAGCTGCTGCTTCACAGTTGACACATCTTACTGCTGGTCGTTTCAGCAAACCCTTACCTCCCCACCACGCACCGTCCCATCCCTCATTTCCCCCTCCCTTCTCCCCTCTCCTCTCCCCCCTCCTCCTCTACTCCACCTCATCTCCCCTCTGGTTCCCTGCACTGGCAGCACGTGCGGTTGCGGGTGGGGGGGAGGCGCTATCGCAATGCAGTACTGCTGCCGGCATACAACCTCACCCTCGTCACCATCGCCAGCGGCAAGCTCACCCGCCTCGTCAACACGGTACGCATGGGTTCCATGCGGTGCTTCTCGGTGCTCTTTTCTTTGCCACCTCAGCACCACCCTACGCCACGCGCAACTGTTCTCCCCTACCCATCCCCCTCCCACGTCCTCTTTCCGTGTCTCTCCTCTCCTCCCCTTTTGGTGTTCCTCACCCAACGCCCATCTCCCACTCTATTTCCCCCCTTCTCTCTCCCCTCGTGCGAGAAGAGTTCAGCAAGGGTGCGGGTGGACGGGCAGTGGGCGGCGTTGCTGCCACTGACAGCAGCCATGGTGTTCACAGCCGGCCACTGGTTCTTCCACCAGGTCGGACTGTGCCTCGTGCCATCCATTCCATGCCCTCTTCCCAGACTTTTAGACTTCGCAAGGGTCTATGCCTCATGACTGTCATGTCAGCCCCTGTCCCCGGCGTTTCTTCTCACCTGTATGTCCCCAACAATCTCCTCCTCCCCCCCACTCTACCGCATCTCTCTCAACCCATTGACCACCCCTCACAGAACTTCATGTCGCCGGTGCTCAAGCTGCGCAAGTCCCTCAAGGCGGTGCGTGACTATATCGAGCGGACCAACTACCCTGGCGTCCCCCTCTTTGTGTCCTTCTCTCCAATGCACTACCGCAACCAGTGCAAAACAGCAGGCGCCCCTCTAAACAACATCACAGCGGCTGTCCAGGAGGGTGATATCCGTGCCATGGAGTCTTTAAAAGAGCAGCGAAAGCTTCTTAGAGGCTCCCGGATGCGGTTGGTGGAGATCACATACATGAGCATGCTGCGACCCGATGGGCATTTGAGCAGAGGGGTGAGCGGCAGGAGGAAGGACTGCAGCCACTGGTGCCTGCCTGGCGTTCCCGATGCCTGGTCTGATGCCATCTACTCCATGCTTGTGGCTTAGTGCCCTGCCCTGCCCTGCCCTGCCCTGCCCTGCCCTGCCCTGCCCTGCCCTGCCCTGCCCTGCCCTGCCCTGCTCTGCTCTGCTCTGCTCTGCCCTGCCCTGCCCTGCCCTGCCCTGCCCTGCCCTGCTCTGCTCTGCTCTGCTCTGCCCTGCCCTGCCCTGCCCTGCCCTGCCCTGCCCTGCCCTGCCCTGCCCTGCCCTGCCCTGCCCTGCCCTGCCCTGCCCTGCCCTGCCCTGCCCTGCCCTGCCCTGCCCTGCCCTGCCCTGCTCTGCTCTGCTCTGCTCTGCCCTGCCCTGCCCTGCCCTGCCCTGCCCTGCCCTGCCCTGCCCTGCCCTGCCCTGCCCTGCCCTGCCCTGCCCTGCCCTGCCCTGCCCTGCCCTGCCCTGCCCTGCCCTGCCCTGCTCTGCTCTGCTCTGCTCTGCTGCATGTGCTGCATTGCATGCTTGTAGTGTCAGGTGCTGCTACATCTGTTGTGTAATCTCTGATTCCTCTATTACCACTTTCATTCAAGCTCGGAGGATTGTCCGACAACAGGAGTGACTGCCAAGCCAATGCAGTGTTACACACATTTTCAACACCATTTCCAGCACCTCTGCTGCTACATACAGCCCGTGCCACGGTTTTCATCTCATGTATGGTAGCTTTGGCAATAACACATCCACCCATGACTCCTCCTTGCACTCACCCCAGCTGCCCCAAAAGGTGTGAGATGACGAGGTCACTCCATGTGTCAGGCACCCCAGGTAGGCACCAATGGCTGCAGTCGAGCTTCTCATGCTGTGGAACAGGGTGTGAGGGAAGGAGGGGATTGGTGGGCCTTGGGTTTTGAGCAAAGCCTTATTGGGGTTGCTGTGATATGCTACGGGAAGGAGATGGGCTGCCCATGATCCGATAACCTACAAGGTAATGCAGCAGGAGGTACGAAATGGTATATCTACATGCAAAAGTATCAGTTCAAGACACACACACATACTCAACCCGGTGTTCCCCCGAATATGCGCATCCGGCCGGAACCGATTCATTTGAGTCACATCCACCAGCTGCAGCCTCGACCCCCGCAGCACCCTCCTCTGTGCCCTAAGAGCGGGAATGGTGCTCTTTGCAGTCACATTCGCTAGAGCAGCAGCAGGCGTGGAGGCAGCGAGGGGTGCTGTAGCCGCAGCACAGGACTCGTAAGTGTGGACAGGGGAGAAGGAGAATGCCAGAGCGGTGCCGGTGTATTTGGAGGAGTGCAGATGGTCGCGAGTAAGGGTGAATGCGGACCGCATGCGATCCAACGGTGGAGGTTGCTTCTTGTGGAAGAACCAATGGCCGGCTGTGAAGATGGCAGCTCGGGTGTGGGGCAGCACTACCGTCCACCGTGGGCTGGGGTAGGTCTGGTTGCTGTGGGACTGGCAGGGCAGGGAGGATGGGATCTGGGGATTTCAATTCAATGTGTCCATGCTCCTGGGATGGGATGGTAAGGCACGTGGAATGCGGACTCAAACACCACATCCGAGGGCCTGCCTCTGAGTGATCTTGGCAGGAATACCGGTAGCAAGAGGGGCTTCTAGTATGGACAGACTGTGCGCCCATGGCAGGAAACACGAGCAACGTGAGTAACACGAACGAACATGAGTGTCAGGAGCAGCAAGAGTCTTACCAAGTGAGGGTTGTTGACGAGGTATCCACGTGCAATGCTCACGAGCGTCACGTTGTACCGCGTGAATCTCACGCACGCATGGTGCAAGCGCCCTATCGTCATCGTGATCGCCTGCTCTCACCACAGGGACGCCAAGAGTGCATTTGTGACGCACCTTAGACACTGGCCTGGTCGGGTGTACCCGTACGCCTGACTGAACCCGTACTAGTACTCCCACTGACCTCGTACGCCCACTGACCTTGTACGCCCACTGACCTCGTACGGCGAGGCCTTTAAGGACGCACGCGACGAGGAGAATAAGGTAAGAAAATCTAGAGTACATGTCTATCACCAATCCAGATCGCCTTGCTACAGCTTGATTGTAAATCACGCTATTAGTGATTGACTCGATAAGAGACCGGAGTCATCAGGTAATTGAGACAATGACTCAAGCAAAAGTGTTACTACAAAATGATCGGGTGGAGTTTTCCTCCTAGCGTCGAATACTATTTGCAGGACTCGGTGGTGCTAAAAATTGCGAAAAGATGCACCTAAACTCCACTTTGGACGACATTGAAGCGACGAATGCAGAGAGTGGAAAACTTGGCATGTGGGCAGGAGGATACGCAGCACAAGTGGAAAACTTGGCAGGGATGGATGGGATGGCAGCGAAGTGAGTTGGGTGAAATTCGAGCATAGGTTTGTTTGAGTGAATGAAGTGGATGGGGGCAAATTCGCGGATTGACTGGGGGAGCAGCTTTCACGTCAGCGCGACGCGATTTAGCGCAGACAGAAATCCCTGCAAATTTGCAGTGATAGTTATAGACTTGCTACACTGCATAAATAGGTGGCTGGATACACAAAATTGTTCGTCCTAGATTCGGTTTGATTTGACAGCTAACACGTCAGAGACAAATAATGGCCACGCCCATTCATGAATACATCAGAGCAATGTCAACACTTCAGACATATGTATTGCGGTATTTTACACTCCATCAAAGCTTGGGAGACATTTTCACAACAGGGAGAGCCTACGTGTTCATATTATGCGTATCCATGGCAAGGGCGTGAACACAAGACGGTCCTTTCTCCATATATTCCTCCCTGCTTAGCGCCCATGCGGATAGGAAGGAGCTTGTCTGCACTCCAAAATGCACACGAAAGAAAAAAAGAGAGAAAATAAACATTTATACCGGGCACACATGGTCGTAACAAAGTGATACAATGACGGCCAGTAGCACTCACAGTGGCCACGGTCCTGCCGCCCATCCACGTGCCATACGGCCCCACCGCCTTCACAGAGAGTTGGTCTGTGAGACGCGGGGGGAGCAGTTGCTTCAGCTCCAGATGAAGCCGCTCTGTCAACGGGACCAACGGAAGGGGGGGGGGGAATAAGGAGCTGATGTGGAGAAGTGGACAGAAAAGGGGAAATTAAGTTGGCTAAGAAAGAGGGATAAGAAGGAATTTGTGATTATATATACATATACACATATATATATAGCCGTAATATTCAACTCGAAGGCTCTGTCAAGGAGCGCCTCACAGAGCACACACCTGCTATCCCTGGCAGGGCAGACGTGCCCCCCGCCAGCACCACGTTGCTGATTGCCTCCCCCACATCCCCACTCCTCAGCGTCACAGGTGCCCGCTCCCTCTCTCCCCCACCTGCCCCTGCTGCCCCGTCCCCACTTCCCATCCGCCTCGTGGCACCTTCATCCCCACGCCCCTCCCCAGGCGCTCCTTCCCCCTCCTCCTCCCTCTCCTCCACCTCTGCAGCCGCTGCCCCTCCCGCGTGGCTGTGCCTGGCCTTCAAAAACGCCCTCAGGCTTATTACACACTCCAATATGCACCGCGCCACTTCACATTGTATGCCCGTGCAGCCGCTGGTTGGGAGAAGGGCAGGGGGTCCGGGGAGTTTGAGAGGGCGGGAAGGACACATGTGTGGGGGGGGAGACAGAAAAATGAGGGAAATCAACTGGAATGGCAACAAGTGACAATGCGGTTGTGACAGGGGGAGCATTTACGGCAGCCAGGAGAGGAGCAAGAATGCGACAACTGGAAAAAACAGCGGGACCACCAGATTGATGACATTGGCGACATTGACCACGTTGACCACGTTGACCCAGTTGACCACATTGACCACACTGACCCCGTTGACCAGGGAGGACGCACAGGCCACAGAGCTGGGGTTGGAAGAGCACTTCAGGAGCGAGAAACTTCTCCCTGCCGAGAGTGAAGGCGCCCTCCCCCGGCACCTCACACGTGCCCCTCACCCACCTCTCCTCCCCCCTCATGGCCGCCTCAAAGTCACGCGCCACAAAGCACAGTGACTGCAAGAGAAGGGGAGGAGGGGTGGGTTGCGGTGATAAGCAGGAAGGAGTGGGTGCGGAATAAAGACGTGCAGAAAGTTATTGCAAGAGTCTGCGAGCCACGAGGAACTGAGGGGGGCAAGGGAAGGAATTTATACCAAAAAAGAAAGAAAGAAAGAAAGAAAGAAAGAAAGAAAGAAAGAAAGAAAGAAAGAAAGAAAGAAAGAAAGAAAGAAAGAAAGAAAAAAGAAAGAAAGAGAGAGAGAAAGAAAGGAAAAAGATGCAAGGCCACTGATTTTGTGGGAGTCACCTCTTTGATGGTCTCCACAGTGGAAATGGACTTGCATGCTATCCCCCGCTCGTGCAGCAGCTGGGTGAGATGCCCCGTGACTCCATGGCGCCCAGCGGCAGGCAGTAGAATGGCAGCAGGCTGCACGCGGTGCGGCCACGGATGAGGGGCAGTATGGTGGTGTTGTTGAACCCAATGTTCACCACCACGCCTGATGTTCTCCCCGCTGCCAACAGGGTCAGGGTGGCCTGGGGGGGGGATGCCGGGTGGGGAAGAGGGAAGTCGACTTAAAGATAAGGCAGTGGAAGGCCAGCAGGTTGCGGGCAGAGAGGCCGCGCTCGATGGGTACCACTGTGGTGCTGCGGACGCCAATGCTCACCACCACGCCTGCCGCTGCCCCCGCTGCCAACAGGGTGAAGGTGGCCTGGGGGGGTGGGGTTGGCCGCGGGGAAGGGACAAGGAAGGAGCATTGTGATGATACAGATGAAGCAGGGAAGGGAGAGGGATGGGGGGGAGGAGTTGAGGCGATAAAAGAATCGATAATAAAATGAAGAGTGTTAGGGTTACCTGGTTGAGTTGAAGTACGCATCTCTGGTAACAGGGGAGTTACCTGGTTGAGGTAGGGATGTGTGGTAACAGCGGGTTTATTTACCTGGTCGACAAGGCAGATGGAGGGCACACGAAAGGCTTTGAAGAGCACGGCACATGTCACCTCCCTCAGACGCCGCCTCCTCTCCTGCGCCTCGCGCGTCTCTGTGTGTGCGAGAGGGGAGACGAGCA